AAAGCGGAGAAAGAAGAGTGAGAGCAGGAGGGAGGGAGAGAGCAAGGGAGGGAGCGAGGAAGCAGAAATTAGGGGGTCTTAGATGAAAAAAAAGAAAGTAGCTTTAGGGGGAATGTGCCATGGAGTGTGAAATTGCAGCCCATGGTGCTCCATATTGTACCAGAAGCTCTTCCAAAAAAAAAAAAAAACCATCCTCCAACGTGACCAGAGGGCTAGGAAGGGGGAGGGGCGGGGAAAGAAGCGGGTGGAGGAGGAGAAAGGGTCGGGCCGGAGCCGGTCAGGGCGAGCTGGAGTGCGGCCCGAGTGCGTGAGCCGCGGCTTGGGACCTGGTCCCAGGGAGGATGAGCCCCAGGGGCACCCCGGGACCCTGGGGGCCAGTGGGCCTTGGCTGTCCAAGACTTAGATTGTCAGTCGAACTTTTTTTTTTCTTTTCTTGTAATTTTTTTTTCTGGTGGTGGTGACTTCCAAAACTAGGAATTATTCTGAAAAGGAGCTTGGCTGTGGAGCTGATGCTCTGCTCCACCCTTCTCTCTTCCCTCCTCTGCTTTCGCTTTTCTTCTCTTTGGACTCGTTTTTTTTTTTTTTCCCCCTTGGTTCTAAACAGCTTTCCCCGCCTTGAACTTTAATGCATTAATTTGGTCCACACTGTGGGGAGCATTTCCTAGGGAGATACATTTAATTTCGGAATTTCTAATCCCCTCACTCAGAGCCCCAGCCCTGGCTCCCCTTGCTGACCCCCGGGAGGTGGAAGGAGTGGAAGGAGGAAGGCTGGCCGAGGTGTCCGGGAGGGCCATGACTGAGACGCTGCCTGGGCCCCCACCAACCCCTCCCCTCAGAGGCCCAGCCACCTTCCCCAACTTCTCCAGGTCAGGCATCCGGGCCCTGGGTCAGGGCCCTGCCTGCAGAGGGTAGGCAGCCAAGCCTCAGCCTTTCTTCACCAGGGCAGAAAGCACTGGGCCAGACTAGGGAATTCAGTCCAAGAAATTACATGTGAAACGTGAAAAGGAGCCGAAGGATCGTGTAGGGAGAGGGTGCAACTAGGGGTAGTGGACAGGGTTTTGAGCGCTTCAGTTCAAGCACAGTCTGCCCAGAAATGCATCTGGGAGCTCTGGGTGCTAGTTGCCCTTGGCTTGGGGTGACTTTGCGTGTGTATACAGTGGGGGAGGAGAGAAAAGCTCAATGGACACCGTAGCCTCGCGGACACCTACACCCAGCAGAGCAGGCAGGAGACAGCCGGAGAGCCAGGCGGCCAGTGCTCGTCAGCGAGGAAGGAGGCAAGGGCGGGGGCGCCAGGCGCCAGGCGAGCCTGGCAGGGAAGGGAGCAGAGAAGGTGAAGGAGCGGAGATCCACAAGGAAGATTTATTGGGCAGATCAGATGCACAGAGGCGGCTAATGAAGCAAATCCCGAGATGGGTATCAGAGCAACTCCCCAAAAGTTTATTTGCCTTTAAATTTCCGCAGGGAGGCGGGTGCCTTGTTTGAAGTGTAAATGCCCCTAGGTTGGGGGTGGAAGGGCCGCTTTGAAAACACCAGAGAGAAAAGGTTCATTTAGAGGCAGACGGGAAAAGCAACCAACCCTGACAGGTCGGAGCCCGGGTTGTGTTTGGGGTTGGGTTGTTTTCTTTCTTTTTCTTTCTTTTCCTCTTCTTTCTTCTTTCCTTTTTTTCCTTTCTGACTCCCCCCCCCCCAAGACTATAGAAGAAGAAAGGGAAGAACAGGAAAAAGAACATCAGAGAGAGAGACCAGTGCCTCTGGAGAGAAATCTGTGCCAGCCCCTCAGCCTGGAGCCCTGGGAGAAGTCCAGGGCTTGACTAAAAGGGTTTCTAATCATCATGGAATATTGCTCTTTGGTTTTCTAGGCCCTTGAATGGGCTGGAGCCAAAAAGGAAGCTGCCAGGGGCTGGCTTGGTAGGAGGGTGGATGTCCAGCTGGTGCAGTGCAGGGAAAAGTGTCTCAGGAGCAGGGCGAGTGGGGTTCTGGAGTCTCAGGGACTACCTGGGAACTGGACTGTCATGGAAGGGTCTTCACTTCTCAGGGGGTACGTGTCAAGTATAGGTGTGTGAGTGCAACTTCCAGCATACTTTGTGCACTGTCTCCGTCTTTACAAGAGAAGAAAATCCCTCTTCCTTGGTATGTAAAAAAAGCCTGTTGTCTGCACCCAGACTTCTTCATAGTCTGTGTAACCTAAGGATATGTCTGGCTGATTCTAGAAAAATCTGAGTCTCTGTGCAGACAGGGGTGCTGTCCACTGTCCAGGTTTTCCAAGAGTTCAGACTCCCTACGACAACTTCCTAGACCAACATAATGAGCAAAGGGGCAAAGGACTCCTTTAGTATTAAGCTCCTTCTCAGTAAAGAAGACCCTTCCTCCATGCGGGGGGCCCCCTCATCTCAATTGTGACTTAATTACCTCCCTGAAAGAAGCCCGAGGCTGTACCAGCTAACATCATCCGAGAGCCCCTTGCTCCCAGGCCCGAGAACCATTCCCTTTAGGCTGCCCGGAACGGTTTTCCTTTCTCGCTCCCCACACCAAGTTAGTGCGTGTTCGTGGGGCTGTGAGGCCAAAGGAAACCCAGGAGCGCCATCTGCAGGTCTCGAGAGGAAGAGACTGACCTTCGGGACTGGACCCTGCGTCTTTCATCTCTCGCCCGAGGGAACCAGCTGGGCCGCCCAAGGGAAGTGGGGCTGAGGGCTGGGAAGGAGGGTGCAGGCGGGGAGGGGACTTTTCCTTCCAGAAGTTACTCCGCAAGTGTATTAAACGAACTGGGCTCCGGAGGATCCAGGAAGGAGAGGAAATGCCAGGATCCCAGCAGATCGACGTCCTCAAGAGCGGGGAGCTTGAAAGCCTGTCGGTCTGGACCTGGCCCGAACCGGCCCGAGGATGAAGGGAGCTCTGAAAACCCCCGTGCAAGAGGCCCTATAGGAGTTTCCTCCTACCTGAGTCGGAGCCGGGGGGGGGGGGGGGGGGGGGCGGGGCGCCGCGTTCGGCCCGCGACCTAGCTGCAGCCTAGGTTTCCGGACAGAGAGACAGCGGCGCGAGTCCGCGGCTCTTCGCAGGCACCAGGGTCAGCAGGCAGGGCCAGAGTTGCCTCGAGTACCGGCTGCAAGATCGCATCGCGGGCTTTCCTGAGCCGCCCTTTCGCAGACCCAGGAAGGTGGGGGGTGCGGAGGGAGAGAAGGAGGGAGAGAGTTAAAACATCAGCTGAAGTGCCAAGATGATTTATGAGAGGAGGGAAAATATTTCATAAAGATCTCCCGGATATTCTGTACTTAACTAGTTAGGAGACAAAGGGCTTCTCCTGCCTGGTGCGTGAGAGAGCTAACCTGAGCGAGCGAGCGAGGGAGCGAGTGCGGACGAGGGCTGCGGCGGCTGGGCCGGCGGCGCCGGCAGGAGCGGGGCTGGGTCGAGCGCGCAGCGCCTCCTGCGCTGGCTCTGGATCCGCCGAGCTGGCAGCGGGCGGCGCTCAGCCTCGTTCACAGCCACTTCTCCCCAGCCGGGGAGAGCGAGGCGAGCCTCGATCTCCCGCCTCCGCTGCCGCCAGCAACCGGTCGTTCTGCACTGCCTCCCCACGTCCCCTCCCCGGTCACCCGAGGGTCCAGGAGCCAAGTCCCCGGGTTCTCGCACCGTCCGTTGGGTCCCACTGAGGCAGGTGCAGTCCCCCCCCCCCGGAGGTCTTCAGCTCGATTCTACACCGAGCGTTCTGGACTGTCCAGACCCCTTTAGGCAAGGGAACGAGGGAAGCCTTGCACGCAGCCGCGTGTGGACGGGAGAGGACAAATTGCCGGACACTTTGCCCCGGAATGAGAATTGGGGGTGTGTGGGTGGGGAGGTACCTCAGGAGGGACAGGCGAAAGGGAAGGACCAGAGAGAGGAAGGAAGAACCAGGAGGAACGGAAGGGAACTCAGCTGAGAATAGCGGGGGGAACTGGACTAGGGATGCGGACCGAGCTGGGGTCTCCGTGGTTCATGCAGGCACTGGCCGGTGGATGGCAGGGCTGGGTGAGTTGGGACTTCGAGCCGGATTCAGAGCGTGGCACGCTCTGCGGTCCTCTGTCGTTGCCTGAATATTCATTAGACTGGCCGCCCTTTATCCTTATCTAACGCTTATCTTATCGGCGAGTTTCGTTTCTCACTGTAGTTTTAATCCCAGGCTCCCCTTCCCCCTCCCCCTGGCCCACTCCCCTCCCTCCCTCTTCCTTCGCCCGCCGCTCCCTCCCTCCCTCCTGTTTCCCCCTCCCCTGCCCTCCCCTCGCCGGCACCGGAGTGACAGGCGCGGGGCCCTCCTCGCCGAAGCTCCGGGCTCCGGCGCTGGCGAATCACAGAGTGGTGGAATCTATTGCCTTTGTCTGACAAGTCATCCATCTCCCAGCGCGGGGAGGGGGAGGGGGTCTGGAGGGGGCTTTGCAGCTTTTAGAGAGAGACACACCGGGAGCCCAGGCTCCAGTCTGCGGCCGAGTCTTCACGCAAACACAACCCACCTGGGGCCAGTCCAGTGCTGCCGGCGTCGTTCGGCTCCCTCCCTCCCTCCCGGCCCTTCGGCCGCGGCGGCGCGCGCCAGCCTTTTCCGGGGGCGGGGGCCCGGCTCGCGCTCTCCCCTCCCGAAGGCGCCGGCTCGGACATCCCGAGGATTGCTACTTCTTTGCCAACTTCTTCAACTCACCGGCACTTGGAGCGGCCCAGCTCCCCGCCCGGCGCCCTCGGGCCGCCCCTGCTCCTCGCCCACTCCCGACTGCCGCCTCTGGATGACCGGGTTCCAGGGGAGCTGAGCAAGCCATCTCCCCGCCCAGTCTCAGCCCTGGCCGCGGCTGCCGCGCGCGCCATGCGCCCCCAGGTCCCCCCGGCCCGGCCTGCCGCCCCGGGGCCGTTCTGCTGACCGCCCAGCCCTGCGCCCCGACGGTGGGAAGTTGCGGCCGCTGCGGTTGCGAGCTCCGATCGGCCCGGGAGGAGTCCCCGCGGGGAGCGCAGCGCAGCGCCCCCCGCTCTCGAGCGCCAGGTCGCAGCCGGGCGCCCACTCACCCTCCCTCCCCCACCGTCCCTCCCTTTTCTCCTCAAGTCCTGAAGTTGAGTTTGAGAGGCGACACGGCGGCGGCGGCCGCGCTGCTCCCGCTCCTCTGCCTCCCCATGGATATGCACTGCAAAGCAGACCCCTTCTCCGCGATGCACCGTGAGTACCGGCGCCCGGCTCCTGTCCCAGCTCGGGGCTCCCCGTCCCACCCTACTCCTTCCAGTCCTGTCCTGAGGCGGCTCTGGCCCCTTATGCTCAGATCCCATCTTGGAGGGCACCCTGGCTTCTCCTGGTCCCCCCTTTTCGTTCTTCCTCTTTCTCCCATTTCTCGGTATATCTGAAGACCCTTCTCTACCTTCTGCCTTATGTCACTCATATTTCTCCTACTACCTGCCTTCCTACCTCCCTGGTGCCCATCCTTTCTTCTTTCCTTCCACCTGCTTCTTCTTAAATAGTGGATCCACAGCCCATGACCCTGGCTCCAGCCACCGTTCCCCTGGCCACCCTCTTGCCTGGGGCTGGGAGACTAATGGGCAGGCAGTTTTTAGGGTTTTGTGTTATGTTTTTCTGTTTGCCTCCCCATCCTTCCTTCTCTCATCTGTATCTTTCTCGAACTTGGAGTGTGGTTGTCCAGGAGAAGACTCCCCACACAGGCAGCCTCAGTGTCAGGACAATCAGGCAGAAGAGCCTGGGGGTGGGGTGCCCCCTTCTGACCCTCAGCTCCCAGCTTCTCCTGGCCCTACCAGCCCAGGCAAGGCTTCATGTGGGCTGGTTTGAAATACTTCCTTCCTCTTTTCTTTCTTGCCTTCCATCCTACTTCCCCTCTGGTGTCCTGGAGTTGGGAGTCTGAGATTGGCCGAACGTGGTGGTCATCTTTCTCTGCCTTTCCTGGGGAGATGCTCTAAAAACAAAGAGGGGTTCCGAAGAGAAATCCAAGTCAGCGATATATCACACAGAAAAGCCTTCCAGGTGGTCCCAAAGCTTTGCTCTGCGTCTAGTTCTAGAGGCTCCTTGCCAGTCTCCCAATCACTAGTAAGGATGATCCAGCCAGTAACCTGGCCAAGGGATCAGAAAAGAGGGAGAAAAGGAGGTGGGAAGAACAAAAGGAAGGCAAATGCCAAAGCTGGGGAGAAAGGAGAGAGAAACCCAAACCAGGGCTAAGAAAGAAGAGCAAGAAAACAGAAAAAGAAATGTTACAGGAAAAAAAGAGAAGGGGAGAAAATAAATTTAAAATAGGAAAGGAGGACTATTTAAATTAAATTTGAATTTATCTAATTCTTGTCCTATGTCTTTAGCTTGGAAAACAATTCAGAGATTTTTTTTTTCTTGCAGGCTTTTCCCCCCCAAAGGTAAATAGATTCTAAATAGAAAACTTTTCTGTAGATTAATAATCAAGGATGATTTGTAACTTTTCACACGGAAACTTTTTAGAGCTGGCTTGGATCTGTGCTTTGGACAAGAGAGCCCAGGAGGGAGGGAGAGCTGCATTTTTCTCTAAACATTTCTTTAGCATATATATGTGTATATATGCTTTAAAAAAAAAAGTACTCCTGGGATAAAATATACTTCCCTAAATAATTTCCAAGCATACACAGGAAATCCGAGCCAGAGACCTCCGGCTGCCGCCGGTTTGTGCGCCGAGCCTGAAACCCTGTCTCCTTTTCGGAGGGAGTGGAACCGGGTACCACACCGTCTTCGCCCAGCCAGCCGGCCTCCTGGCCCCGCAGCCTCTGCTCTTTCTCTCCTCTCTCGCTGATTCCGCGGGGGATTTGCCGAGTCCTGGCCGTCCACTGGGTACCACTTTGAAGCCCAAAGGGGAGCAAGGCGAGTCGAAGGTGGTCGAAGGAAGGGCGAGACCGCGGTGCGGGCTAGCCGGCCAGCTGCGGCAGCCAGAGTCGGCGCCGGCGGCGGCGATGGCGCAGTCTAGGCCCGACTCAGCACCGGCCCTCGGCCCCAGCCCTGGACTCCTGCCGTACCCCCTTTCTTTCCCGACCCCTTAGATTGGGGTCGAGGGGCTGGGCCCGGAGCCCGGGGAGGCTGAATTATTCATCTTTAATCTGCCCGCAGCTGCCGCCTTTTCATACCGGTAACGCGAGTTCTCCCGGGGCCTAAATTATTGATGGTCGGGTTTGGAGGGAGGGGAGGGTGAGGAGTGGGGCTAGAGGTAGGGAGCCTAGCATGGGTGAGGGGTAGGATAGGAGGCTTCGGCTTTCCCCAGCCTGGAGATCGGAGGCCTCTCTCCAGAGGTTTAGCCGGCCCCTATTCTCGGTCCCCCAAGAAGGGGACGAGAGAGCAGCGAACCGGGTGCAGGTGTCCCCGCTTTCTCCGAAAGTCGCCCGAGGCTAGCAGGACAGGGCTGCTGGCTGTTGGTCCGGTCAGGTCGGACTCTGCCGCTACCACTCTCTGTGCTTGGATTTCTCAGTAACTGCGACTGCGTGTTGATGGCTCTGGGTGCAGGATTTCTAGACTGCTGTGAGTGAGGGAGAATGGGGCGCCAGGCAGCGCCTTCAGGCCTGGCATCCGGCGACCACTATGGCTCTGAGGTTGGGCGCCTGCAGCAGGAGTCAGGTTGGAGACCCAGCACCCTCCTCTTGCCCAGGAGAGCAAACGCCCTTGCTGTCCCCTTTCCTGAGTGGCCGCGGAGGTCTAAAAGGTCAGAGGGATGCGAGCTGGCTGAGGCTGGCTGCACAGGGTGCCCTGTGAACCTTGAGCCCACCTAAGAGACCTGTACCATGCGTCCTGGGTGAGGCGGTGGGTCCCCAGCCTGGCGCAGCGCGGCAGGCGGGTGAACCCAAGCAGTTTGCATTCTGTGGTTGCTAGCGAGCACCTCGCCGCTTTCCACTGCCTCCCTGTCTCGGAGCGCAGCAGACTCTGGGCCCTTGCCTCTTAAGCCTAGCCCCTTACCTCCTTCAGTTGGCTTTCTTTGAACTTTAAACCCTAGGCGGGGGTGGGGGAATATGGCTCCCCAAATACCTAAAGATAGAAAACATAAAAGAAAAACTCCCCGTCCAAAAAAAAAAAAAACTCACAACAAAAACACGGGGAAAGATGTAAGACGACTCCAATTCCAAATAAATACAAGGAAAGAGGTAGGGAGCAGAGGGGAGAATGTCAGGGACTTAGCTCCTCTCCTAACCAACACCCCAGAAACATCCACTTTCAAGCACGCTCGGACAACTCCCCTCTCGCCTGCGGCTCAGGCGGGATTCCGCACCGTCCTCCGCCCGGCCCTCCCTTGCCTACATTCTTTCCTGCCGGCGTTATTTCCCACTTGGCTGTTTTTCTCCCCTTCTTCCCCTTTTCCCCGCTCTCGCCCCGCTGCCCATCCCATCTTCACTTTCTCCCTGGTGTCGTACCGGTTTTCGAGTCGCGCGTCCTTGCCCAGCCCTCCGCCCAGCCTCTGCACTTCCGCGTCTCTCCAGCCCCGCGGCTCCCGGTCCCTAATCCTCTGCGTTGTGGTCGGCGGCCGCCGTTCGCCCGCGAGCCCAGGAACATGCCCTTCCGCCCTTCCTGCTCCCTTCACACATCCTGGGCCGCGCGCGGGCCCTGACTAATGGCCGGTCCCTGCTGTGTGTGGGGTGTTGTGTCTTTTTCTTGTCTCTCCCCAGCAGGGCACGGGGGTGTGAACCAGCTCGGGGGGGTGTTTGTGAACGGCAGGCCCCTGCCCGACGTGGTGAGGCAGCGCATCGTGGAGCTGGCCCACCAGGGCGTGCGGCCCTGCGACATCTCCCGGCAGCTGCGGGTCAGCCACGGCTGTGTCAGCAAAATCCTGGGCAGGTGAGGGTCGCGGAGCCGCCCCTGGGAGATGCCCCCGTCTGCTTCACGGGCTGGACAGCCCTTGGTCTCCAGCCGAGGGCTTGGCTAAAAGTGCAAGTCGCTAGCGGGCGTGGGAGATCCCTGACTGGGGCTATCTGGAGAGCGGCTCCTTTTGGCAAGGGCACGCAGGTGGTGACTGCGGCCCCAGAAGCGCAGTCCAGCGCGCTTGCCAGGCTCCAGCGTCCTCTCTGGGAGAGAGCTGGATTCCTGTCTTCAGAAACGGAAGGACAGCTCTCCTCTTTGGAAGGGAGGGTTGGAGGAATAGGGTGAAGGTAAAGATGGGTGCCCGGAGAAGAGAAGAAGCAGCTTGAGAGATGCAAGGTTAGTCCTGGTTCCCATAGGGGCCCTGTGCTCAGTGGGAATGGGCAGGAGGCCTCCAAGTGCTGTTCCTCCCGCTCTTCTCAAATGAAAGGCCAGGCTTCCACACCCGGGTCGCCTATTGCAGCTGCTGTGTGCACAGCCTTTGGTACGACCACCTTCCGGGAGAGAGCGTCCCTGTTGTCCCTGCGCTCACCCTCTGATGTATCCCTGCCTTAGCCGAGTGGCTCTGGATGCCCGCTCAGACACGCTGGGTCTTTTCCCTCTCCGCCTCCGGCGGCAGAGTGGCTCAGCGGCTCCAGAGCCTGCAGTCCCCACTCTCGGCCACCGCCTGCTTCTCTCTGACCCTGCTGGCTTTCCCCACGCAGGTACTATGAGACCGGCAGCATCAAACCTGGAGTGATCGGCGGCTCCAAGCCAAAAGTGGCAACACCCAAAGTTGTGGACAAGATTGCTGAATACAAGCGACAGAACCCAACTATGTTTGCCTGGGAGATCCGGGACCGGCTTCTGGCGGAGGGCATCTGTGACAACGACACAGTGCCCAGCGTCTCTTCCATCAACAGGTGAGTAAGCCACGCTGGGCTGCAGGGTGGGGCTCCAGCTCCCAGCTCCCGAGCACCAGAGTTTCTCCCAGCTCCAGCTCCGTTCTTCCTCCAGCCTCTGCCTGCCCTTGCTCCTAGGCCTCCAGGTCCTTTGGGCAGGGAGAGGGGACCTCGGAGGCAGAGAGACAGACAGACAGACAGGGCTGTCTCCAGCTCAGGACTGGGTATTCCCTGCCAGGCTTCTCCCTCTGGCGTCCTGGAAATGAATCCAAGTGTTTGTGGTAATTAAGACTCCAAGATTATGCGCCTCAGTCGGTATCTAGAGACAATCACAGCCCACAGCCGAAGCCTTTAAAATGACCAGTGTTCTATTCATCGCCTCTAAACAGACTTCCCTTTCTAAAGGCATGCTCCCTTCCCCAGGGGCAGCCACCTGTCCTGGCTCCCCGCCTCCCCCCCACCCCCCACCCCATCATCTCTGCTGACTCCTATAAAGGTGGCCTTCCTGGGAGCCCAGGCCTTGCTAGCCAGCTCCACACAAATTTCTGGCCTACTAGCACCAGTATCCAGGCCTGTAGGGCAAACACCAATGACCAGCACCCACTGGCAGGGAGCAGAGAAGCTAGACAAGGAATGGGATGCCAAGTCAGGATGGAGAACTCTGGACCCTGAGGCTGAACCTCAGGAGGTGCCTCCAACCACCTAGACTCCCTGTGTCCAGGCCCGAGGCTACACTGATGACAGGCTCAGGCACAGGGTGACAACTCAGGCTGGAGTCAGCTCAACATTCAGTAGCACAAGTTAGTCTCCCAATCTTCGAGCCACTCCAGTGTGCTCTCCAGGATACGTGCACACTCCACATATGTACCACCCCACCCAGGCCAGTGTATACATGTGGCAGGTATAGCACATAACAGGAGCACTTGGAGATGGGGACCCAGGATGGCTTTCCCATCACAGAACTGCGCAACCTGACATCAGCAGAGACCCTGTGCAAATTCCAGACAGCCTTGGCGAGCTTTTCAACCCCTGCCCCTTGCATTTTAAGGCAAATCCCCAAATGAGAAGGCTGAGGGTTTCATACCTGTGTTTTTCTTTACACTCTTCATAGGCTCATTATCAGAGCAACTAATAATTCAGCTGGTGCCTTTTTCTGAAACTGGCATCACGTATCAAGTTTCCTTTTTTTTTAAATATTTTGCAAATGATATGGAATTATCCCAAATCATCCTGAAAACAGCAGGTAAAATTAGCTGGTAGAATGTACCTTGGCTAAAGAAGATTCCCTCTGCCACACTCGTGCTGTAACGTACTGCGAGGCGACCCCAGAAATTATCCCACTGTGTGCCATCTGTATTAAAATGGTTATTCAGTTATGAACAGGGTAACATAATACTGATCAGCTAATTATACACCCTCCGAAAACTCTCCAGCTCCCTGGGCCTGGCTCAGCTAGGTATTGAGAGCATAGCGGTTTGACATTCAGACACCTTCCAAAGGAGCTAGAGAAAGAGTGGGCCCTCCCCCCTCCACCACCACCTGCATTGGGAGAGGAATGAGTCTTTTGCATTTAAAAGCCAGTGGAGGAGGCTGGGGAAGCTCTGGGGCTCTGGCAGGAGTGGGAAGGGGACAAAGCAATGTCTCCTCTCAACCTCTAGGCTGGTTGCTGGTCTGGGGAGTGGGTTTGAACTGGGGTCTTGGGAGGAGAGAAGCCCTGCTGAGGAGCAGTGTTGCTGGGACTGGGTGCTGGTGTTCTGGAACAATCTTGTTGTGATAGGATTTGCAAGCCTTTGGAGGAGCTAAAGATATGTTTGATCAAAGCAATGCACTTCACTTTGGGGGCTTGGAAGATTGGGACAGTCAGTGCAGGTGTGGTGGCAGCACCCCTTGCCTAGCACCCCTTCTTCCCCCTGTCCCCACTATATACCCCTCACTGGCTGAGATGTTTTGGGAAGCTGGCTTATGCAAAAGTTTGGGAGTGCTCTCATCCTGAAAAGCCACGGAGAACAGGGGACGGGTGACCCCAGGACCAAGCTCCAGAGGGCTTGAGGTGCACTCACCAGAACTGGGAGAAAGTAGAAGAGTGAGCTGCTAGTGGGATGAGAGTGGGAGAACGACCTCGGTTTAACAGCTCTGACAGCAGCAGAATTTGCTCAACACAGAGAGTGACCACCTGAGGGACACAGAGGCTACCTTTGGGTGTGGAACAATAGCCATCTGTGGGCAGGTGTTGCTGGAATGGCAAGGGTGTGGGAGGAGAACGGAGAAGCCGCTGGCAGTATGGGCAGCCAGCCCTGGGTTTGCAGCGAGGCTTCCTGGCTATCAACAAGGCTTGGTTAGAGTTTTCTTGATTTTGCATTGTGATTCATATGTGGGAAAGAATTCTGGGGGCTTCCTGGTATGCTGCTGAATCAGGGCTGGGGGGATGCATCTGGGCCCGACGCCCTTAGCATTATGCCTCCAGATGCTTTGCTCTGAAGGGGAAGGTTTATCTGAGATACATTGCTTCACCCTAAAGGCTGCTAAAAGTGGCATTTCTGCTGGTACTGCTGATGCCAGGAACTTTGCGAATTCTCACTCCCTGTAGGAAGAACATGGAGATGTTCTGTGTAGAAAGTATGGTGTGTTGGGGACTGGGTGGCTCTTGAGTTTAGACCTTTACTGTGGGTGAGGTGCCACTTGTGTTGGGCACTTTATAATACTCACAATCAAGGATGTGTCTGTACTGGCTGTTGGCAAGAAAGGAAGTCCACACGTGCTTATCCACGTGAGCCAAATCACAAGGGTTTTCATCTTCTCCTCCCCCAAACAGATGCTGTCGCCGCACTTGAAATATGCTATTATGGTTATAAACTAAATTGGTTTTCCTGCTTTAAAAATGGTTTTGGCTTTTTCTGATCCTGTTGTGATAAAGGCTTGGACATCCAACCTTCCTTCTCCATTGGCAGATCCTCATAGCAGTACCTCTCTGAGCCAATAGAGTAGGTGAGGTAGGCTTCCCAATCTCACCCTCACTCCCTGAAACCACCATCAAAAATCCGGAGGCTGGACTGGATTGTTTAGCATGCGGAATTTATCTGAATGGCTCTCAATTTTGGGTTACTGATTGTTGAGTGTGGAGTTGCCAGCTCTTCAGCTTGTGCTTAAACACTGCTGCTGTGTGTGTGTGGGGTGGGGGGGGCGGTGTTTATAAACAGGTGACTTGAGACTGAAAGCTCATGTGTGAAATGGCCCAGAGGGGGAGGAGATGGAGGGGGACCCACCCTGCTAACAGTCATTTACCTAGTTACGTTGCTGAGCAATTGGCTAGGCAGGAAGGATTTTCCTGATTATATGCCAACGTCTTCAGGTTTGGCCGTTGCTCTGGGAAGGGAATATAGCTCCTTTGAAGGCACAGGCGCAGACTCCAGCGGGAGTCAAGTGTTCCTGAAGATCCCCCTGAGGGTACTGTCTTGGACTGAGCTGACAAGGAGGCCATCGATCTTTTAGCTTTCTCAGCTGGTGCTATACTATGTGGGACCAGGGCATTCCCAGCTCCTAGATCTTTCAAGTGGACCCTCCCAGAGTCAATTTCCCACCAATCACCTGCTACCCACACCCTTCCTTAACCTGTTTGGCTTATAAGTGAGCATATGTACTCTCCTAGTGGTGGCAACACTGGCTTCAAGAAGGCACCAGCCCCAGGGCTGTTAAACAGTTCCATCTCATGTCATCTGCAGGTCTTCGTCAGAATCTGGCACTGGGGTGACAGGTGGTCTAGCTGTTCATTCAGAAGTCTTTCCAAGGAAGCTGGGAGCCACTTATCCCAGCCAAGGGAATGCTGAAGACATGTTCAGGGCTGGGGTCTGTGTCTCTCTTTCTGAGACTCAGGTTCTAGAATATCGCATATTTGACTCTTGGACAGACCTGGTTTGGCACAAAGCTGGACCAGAGAGGCTGCATTGCCCATTACATTTCCATACCCTTGCACTTGTTTGGTGGTCAGGGCTGTTGGTCTCATGGCCAAGAGCCAAGGCAAGTTGGTAGGTTAAGAAGAAGGCCTCTCCCCACAGAGGAATGGGAAAAATAAGAATAAAGGACTTGCTTTGTGTGCCCCTTGGTCTTCTAGATCAGGCCACCTCTGGTGGACAGATGTGCCAGTTTCTGTCGGAAAACCCTTGCCCACCTGTCCTTCCCCAGAGAACGTCTCTTGCTTCTAACGAGCCTTCTCCTCATTAGAATAACATGTGAAATAGTCACGACTGCTGGCACTCTTATTTCTTTAAATGAGCTGGAGTTGTCCCCCTGAAAAGCCATCTTTGTTCACTCAGCTATTTTAGATGTCTTGGCCAGCAGTTGTATTGGTCTAACTGTTTCCCTGTGGGCAGGCTTCGAGTGGGAGGTCAGGCCACAAGATAGCTTTCAGGTGAGAGTGATGGCTGGTTGCCCTGAGTTCTTACCTCCACTGGCAACTCTAGGAAAGAGGGAGATAGGAGGGGTTGTCTGTAACAAAAGCTCCAGGTGCATGTTGGAGGGTGATTCAAAGAGGAAACTAGAGGGGGGAACCCTAAATAAATAAAGTGTGTCCCAACTATTCTGAGAACTCAATAAAACAATCACATCAAATATGAAGAGGCATAAATCTTGTGTCTGCACAGGTAACCTACTCAATTGCTTTTATTATCGCTCAGGCTGCTTCCATTTATTACCGTCCACAGTCTGGGCAAAGGAGCTTGCGTGGAGGGTGGTCTCCAGTGCAATCCTACACCCCGAGAGGCAACAATCAGCCCATACAGCCAGGGATTTCGATGGGAGCTTGGAAGGGCCCATCTGTCTGCATGAAAACCAATCAATAACTCTGTAACCAGAGCCCTTGTCACAGGGAAATGGACAACACAACAGTTCAATACAGGGGCCACGGGGGGAATTAGCCAAGTGGAGATGGACCAGACAGGAGGAGCCCCTGGAGAAGGGAGACAGGGTGCCTAGTAAAGGGAATATTTGGGAGGGAATGAGATGGAGCAATGGCTTTGTGTGCATAT